GCGCGGCCTCCAAAAAAAATTTGGCTGCCCGTTTCTTATTTTACGCGAGCAGGGGGCCGGGTCTACTACCGCCCCTCACAACTTCTTTTTTTTTTTTTGACCCCCATTTTTGGAGGTGCGCCGCATGCAGTGCGCGTGCGTGGTGCGGGATGCGCGGTGCGGCGCACGTGCGCAGTGCAGCGCATCGCGATGCGCCGCATGTATGGTGCCCAGATCCACAAGGGGGGATCAAAGAGGTGTTAATATTTGCCCAGATCCACAAGGGGAAACTAAGTACTGGGGTTCTGGGTGCACTGCGATGTAGGTGGCCGTAAATCAGGGCCTTGGCAGACATCGGCTCTACCTGGAATTATATCAGTCGTGCTTGTATAGACAGGCTGCACCCTATGGACCGAGTGCAGCAGCTAAGTAGACATGTAGTATCTACGCTAGCTAACAAGCAGAGGATGGTGATCAAGGGCTACATTAAGGACGTAGTATGTACCTTCTCCTATGGGGAGGGGAAAATGAGGCATACATTCTCTTTTTCCGCAAGCAACGAACTCCCATTTTACATGATCCTATGAATGTTCTATCTCGAGTTGCTAAGCCCCAGTCTGACTGGAAGAGTAAAGTCCGAGGGAAGGACAGTCCTTCTGAAGAAGTACAGTCTTCAAAAGTTGGCAGACTCTTGTGGCTGTTCGTGTGCCAGCGCGTTTTACAACTATAACAAGCAGAACCAGGATGAGGGCATGTACCTAGCCTTCGTGTCTTAAACGGGAAAAGCCATCGAGAACCTTCGAGACATAGAAAGAGTGGTCGCTACTTATCCAGACCTCCAAGAAGAGCCGTCAGGAGTTGTAGAAAGAGAGGTCGTCCATGCAATAGAGATTATCCAATGTGCAATAACCCATGCCATATGTCTCGTGGAACTGAGGGCCATCAGAAGGCCTACTTGGCCGCCCTCAGCCCAGGCCAAATAAGGGCAGAAAAGGCCCTTCACGATTTCAGGGCCTGGGCGTGTGACAGTGTGACAGTTGACTTCGGTCAACTGTCGGTCCACCCAACAGTCAAAGTCCAAAGGTACCTAGCCCAGGCCGCAGGTCAAGCACACACATTTGTTTGTATGCAGGTACCCAGACAGCATCAGGTCCAAGGGAGAAGTCTGCAACTGTACAATCCGGGCCTTGAGATGTGAGTCAATCTGGACGACTGGAGGAAAAGCAACCAAGGCCAGACAGCCTCGACGACTGCTACATAAGGCTGGCCTCGAGCAAGTCCAGCATTCAGTCTTGCTATGCTGCTTTGACGCTGGCTCGACTTTGACACGGCGCCGGCTTCAGGCTGGCTTTGCGCTGGCATTGCGGACGACGACACGCGGTAGGGGCGGCATGCTGACGTGGCGCTGCCTAGGGTACACGTGGCGCTGCCTCTGGTCTACTTGGCATGCTGATGTGGCGCTACCTCTGGTCTACGTGGCATGCTGACATGGCGCTGCTTCTGGTACATGTGGCACTGCCTCTGGGCTACGTGGCATGCTGACGTGGCGCTGCCTCTGGCATATGTGGCGCTGCTCTTGGTATACGTGGCATTGCTATTGGTCTTCATTGTTGATGTGGCGCATGCCACCTGTCTTGGTTGCTGACGTGGCATTGTCCACGCTGTTTACATGAGGTGACTGGTTGCGAGGGAGAGGAAGATCGGGATCTGTGGTTATGAAGGATCGGGTACTCACTTGTGGCTGACGTCGGATTGACGACTTCTGGGTATCTATCAGACTGGGTTCATTACAAATTTGTCCCTGCAAGTAAGGTGCGTAGGGGTAGGATCTATAGGATGTCTCCAGCGGAGTAGGATGAGCTTCACAAACAACTGAAGGAACTTTCTGACAAGGTATGGATTAGGGCCATTAGGCCAAGTACTTTTCCCAATGGTGCTCCAGTGTTACTCGTACCCTAGAAAAGGGGAATATTTAGGATGTGCATTGATCGTAAGAGCCTCAATGCCATCAGCGTAAAGAACACTAAGACTCTACCTCCCATCGATGACCTTCTGGATAGAGTGCAAGGGTGTATGTACTTAAGTAAGATAGATCTGAAGTCTGAAGTACCATCAGATCCAAATCAGGTTAGAGGACCAGCACAAGACTGCGTTTCAGCCCAGGAACTGTCTGTACGAGTTTGTAATTATGCCCTTTGGACTGGGCAATGCGCCCGGTACATTCCAGCACATAATGAACCGGATATTTCATGATTACTTGGATAACTTCATTGTCGTTTACCTCGACAGTATTCTTATCATTAGTAAGACTTTAGAGGAGCATGCGCAGCACTTAGATATCGTGCTAGGCCTCCTCAGAACGCACCAGTATCAGATAAAACTGGAGAAAGCAGATTCGGTCGCACCACGATCTGATACTTGGGTCATGAGATATCCGAGGAAGGGTTAAGGCCAGAAGATGCGGAAGTGGCCTCCAAGGATCGGCCACGACCTCGGTATGTGACTTCAGTGGTTTGCTCGTACGTATTTGGTATGACCTCAGTTTGTATTCTGCTTTCATTTCTGCTCAAAGTGACCTGGATTTCCATGGAATGTTGCAATCTGGTTTATTCAACTTCATTGTCATTTGCATTCGCTCATTTCCTTGCAAAAATATGCTGTACAATGTATCCTAAAAATGTAGTAAAAGCAAATTCTGGCAGCAAAAGAACACATATTTTTGGCCCCCAGTTGGCCCAAAACTTATAGGTTTGATGCCCAAAGCCCAGAGAAACCAGTAGGCTCATTAGAATAGGCAGTGGTGGTTTAAGAGAATAAAAAATGAATTTCAATGGACAGTAAAACACTTTGTCTGGATGATATCGCCAGCTTTTGCTCTTGAGAATGAACCCTCCAGCTCCAGTGCAGTTTGAATAGGGTTGTTTAAATAATATGAGGCACGAGGGACAAGACGGAGAAACACATCAGACCATGAGTCCAAACGGCCGTTTGCTATCGAAGCTCGATCAAGGTCCAGTGACTGTGGCTGAAGGTCAGGACGGAATGATCCACTTCACTACTCGTAGTACTCGTTACTTTCCCTGCAATTTTTTATTTTTTTATTTTTTTTTAGGTTTGGAGTCCAAACTCGCTTTCGAAGTTCGGAGCCACGTAAAGATCAAGGTAAGCCCCTGAGATGTAGGATCACTCCTATCATTGAGGCTCCACATCCAGGGATAAGATAGAGTGACAAGCAATGGACAGGAAATACACTTTCCCTCTCACCAGCAATTCTTACAATCTCAGGTAGGAATGAACAGACAAGTAGTACCATGCTCGGAGAACTCGTGTGGAAAAGATGGGGCCTCGTCCGAATACTCCATAAATAAAAAAAATGGCAGGTATATTTTCAGCTAGAAGGGAAAAAAACACACTCTCCACACCTTTGCCTTTCTTACCTTTGACGAGTGGTGGAGCGACGCCCATCGCCTCACAAGAACCTGTCTCAGACTGTTTGAGGTGCCGCATTAATGTCTTTTAACTGGAGAATGCCTCAATGGAATTGATATGGGCTTTGCAGTGCAGTACTTGTCATACACGCACACATGTGACACAAGGTTGAGATCATGACTCGTCGATAAACAGTTCATTCCATACTTTTTGGCTAAAATTCTCAAATAGCAAACAGGGTTACTGGAAAAAAAAAGAAAAAAAGAAAAGGAAAGGAAACACGGGGTTTCGACTTCGCAGGCACAATATTTTGTAGCCCCGAATGATCTCTCTCAGACTGCAAGGGTGGGGGGTCCAGAGCGAGGAACATTTGTGCAGATTCTCACCGGCGGGAGGCCAAGTCAACTATCTTGGCAACTTCCTGTGGCACTAGTATCAGAGCTGCAGCAATGGTGACCATTATCACACAACGACCGAGTGATGTCTTGGGGGTGATGTCACCGTACCCGACAGTTGATACCTGGAATGAAAAGGGCAAAGCATTGTCAGGTAATAGTACAGTAGTACATGTCTGTTTTCCCAGTCAAAACATTGCCAAAAATACTACAAAAAAGTCTCTGTAATGTTTATGAAAAGGGCAAATCATTGTCAGGTAATAGTACAGTACTACATGTCTGTTTTCCCAGTCAGAACATTGCCAAAAATACTAAAACAGAAGTCTCTGTAATGTTTATCCCAAACCTATGAATATAGACTCTAAGGCTCTGGGATGTATTTGTACTATTTGCCATGTGGTCTATCCATAATTTTTTAGTAAATTTTTACACTTCAATCAGGCCCTCCCTGTATGAGGTAGTCCTCGACTTTCCAGACAGCTTAGTTTACTTTGTAATATAAAGTTATTAACCTATTAATACTTATTATACACTATTATTATTTTTTCTTTCTTTCTTTCTTTCTTTCTTTCTTTCTTTTTTTTTTCTTTTTTTTTTTTTTCTTTTTTTTTTTAACCAGGTCCTTACGGCCCTGGCTCCATTTCCATTCTGGGGAGCATCAGTCCGGTTCCTATTCCACCGGCAAGTCAGACATAAATATTACATCATGACACACACTCACACTTCCTTCCGTCTGGCCGAAGGAATCCTGACCAGCATTGATTACTCCCGCATCGTGGAGGATTGACTGTCAGCTTGCCTTACTTACACCTTTCCTCTCAGGTCCACTACATGAGCCTGCCATATAATAATAATGAGCAAGAGAGTAAGAGAAGCTATGGAAGTTGCAGTCTTGGGATTCGCCCTCCAAAGTTATGTGACCTGTGATGGATGTTGTCCTTCTGCTGGTTGGGATCTCTGCCTTTTCCACCCTGTTTCTGAGTTGTGCCAGTGTTTCCATCGTACGTGGAAGTCATTTATCTCTGCAACTTTGCCCCTTGCAAGCCACACCTTAGTGAATTTTGCCTTGACTCTTCTCTGTTGCTCTTTGTCATCTGGCATGGACTGTCTCGTCTTGTGCCACTTGCAAAGGATCTCCGTCTGAATCAAAGTCCTTGTCTCCGCCCATACCTTCTCCCTTGGAGTTGAGAGTCCCTCAATGGTTCTACAGCACCTTTCCTTCCAGATGGACCACAGCGTTACCTTTCTGATCATTCAAAACCACGTTTTCTCTGTCTTGTGGAATTGAGGTGGGATGTTCAGGTAGGGGAGACAAAAGAAGGAATCCCAGAGATCCAAGGCCCTCACCCAGTATTCGGTCGCCTCCCGACAGCGTATCAGGCAGTGTAGCATATCTTCAGGTTCATTTTCTGAACATACCGCACATAAATCTGAACTGTTAGGGTCATTCTTGTTTCTTCTGATACGCAGCCACTGGTTGACCGGTAGAGCTACGTATGAGATGAGCCATTGTAGGCTTCTGATTTTAACCGGGCGAATTGACTTGAATTTTTTCCATGGTATTTGTGGGATCTGACTAGCTTCTTGACCTATTAGCTTCTGCCATCTATTCTTGATCGTTGGTTCAGGATCCTTCGTTTTGAGGAGTTAGTTGTATCCCAGCTTGACTGTGTATTCCTGAATGGAGACTTGAGTTTTGAGGCTTCTACTTCGGTCTGGTGTCCAAACCCACTCTGTTGGATCAAATTCCAAGTCTTGAATTGCCGTATCTATTCTGAAGATTGTTCTTGGCCATGAATCCAGCACTCTGACTTTTCTGAGTACCAAACGGTTTAGGACTGTTCTAGCCCACTCGCTGGATCAAATTCCAAGTCTTGAATCGCCGTATCTATTCTGAAGATTGTTTTTGGTCATGAACCCAGCACTCTGACTTTTCTGAGTACCAAAGGGTTTAGGACTGTTCTTTCCACCTCCTTATTCATGATAGATGAAAGGCCTTGCGTGGAGGGGGTAATTGGGAAGGAGGTAAACACTGCCAAAGTATCCGACCCTTGCTGTTTATGGGAGAATTGATAGGCCCTTGTGGGGGTTAAATCCTGCACCCTAACTCCCCATTCACCCGATTTCCAAGTTGAGACTTCGCTTAACAACTCCTTCCAGCCTTCTGGGATGCAGTTGACAATAGATTGTAAGTTCTCATCTCGTCGGTGACATCCTTTGAGCTGGGAGGCAAGTTCCTGGTCTGTCATCCAGTCCTTTTTCTCCTCGTTCCACAGATGGCTCACTTTCCAAACTCCATGTTTGATCCATGATAACCATCTCCTTCCTCTAGGATTAAGGGATAGTTGGTGATCGCTTTCATCTCTCACCCACGGATTACCAAACAAGGGTTGCCTCAGTACCCCTTCTTTGGATTTGGGTCTTCCCACTTTCCTTGGCATGACTTCCTGCCATATCCGTAACAATGCAGTCCAATATGGTGTAGGGGGTCTGACTTCATTTGGCTCGGTTCCTCTTCGTTGATTTATGCGCCCTGTTCTTGGACTCCATTCCTTGGTCATTACCCAGAACAGTCCGGCCATATTTGCTGGTGTGGCTGTAGGTGCTATCCAAGGCCAGTTTATTCCATGCTATGCCAGGTTTAGTCAGTAGTTTGACTATCCATTTGACTTGTAAGGCTTTGGTTTCCTGTTTGGGGGCTATGATACCAAGACCTCCTTCGGCTGGTTTCCTTGTGATGTAAAGCCAAGCTATCTTTGGTATGCAGTTCTCTTTGTTTGGGTCACCCGACCACAAGTACGCTCTTGCTTTACGGTTAAGTTCCTTGATTGTATGGTCCGGAACGGTCCAGATTGACGCTATGTACCACATCATAGAAAAAATAGATGTATTAATGGCTAGTGCATGCCCAGCAATGATGTGAATGTATTACCCCATCTGCTCAGTTTGTTAATTTGTTTGGCGAGTATATTTTGGGCCATTTTTGGGGTGAGGCCATCCTTTGTCAGCAAGATGCCTAGATATTGTGTAGGTGTCTCCGGTGTCTCCCATGTCATGTCTGCCTCAGGGCCTAGACGTTGGGGAACCTCCTCCTCCGATAGCCACCAGCCGATTGTTTTCTTCCAACTAATCGTCATTTCTGATGCCAGTCTGAACGCTTCCATTGCTCTTACTAACGCGCTGAACGACGAGTCTGAATCTCTTATGAGAACCGTGAGATCGTCTGCAAACATTAGTACCGTCGGGAACTGTAAGCGGTGGGTTGATCCTACATTGACCTCTGGTAGTCAACGTATGGAGGGGTCTTTGTGTAGGAATGAAGCTATTGCTTTCATAACGAAGAGGAAGATTGGGGGAGCCAGCGAGTCCCCCTGGCGCACTGACTGAGAGATTGGATAGCAGCCAGAGAGCAAGCCGTTGACTTGGGTGCATCCTATGGCGTCATTATACAGAATGCACACCCACTTCCTGAAATTCAGGCCCACTCCCATCTTTTCCATGCTTGTATTGAGAAAGGCCCAGTTGACCTGGCCATAGGCCTTTTCAAAATCGAAGAAGAGGATTGCTTTGTTTATCCTTTTCTCTTCGACTTTGTTAGCCGCTTCGCTGAGAGTTGGTACATTATCCAGGATGTACCTCCCAGGAATGAAGCCTGTTTGATCTACATGAAAGCATTTGTCTGTCAGGTCTAGGATCCAAAAGGCAAGAGCTTTGGCAAGGATCTTATAGGGACGTGTTAGAAGCGAGATGGGTCTGTAATTCCTGATATCTGCTCTCTCTCCTTTTTTGTACAACAAAGTGACCACGCTGCAACTTAGTAGGTTTCCCAGTCCCCCTTTGAGCCAGCTGTCGTTGTAGAAGTTTAGCAAATCTCCTCCTAAGAGCGGCCAAAACTTTTCCCAGAATTATTTTGTCAGCCGGTCGATTCCTGGAGACTTATCGTTGTTCATATTTTGGACAGCAAATTGCAGCTCTTCCATGGTGATGGGCTTGTCCAGACCTTCTGCTTGTTCTTGAGATATCGTTTGTTCCAAGTATTCTGGCATCCTAGTCCGTGCCTCTCTGTTGCTGGGCGGAGTAGGCATAGGGGTCTTCGTGTGATAGAGCTCTTCGTAGAATTCCTTTGCTACGTTCAACATTCCTTCGCTATCTCTCGCTGTTTCATTTGGAATGGAGAGGGTTTTCAAGCCTTCTATCGCATTGGCCCTTGAGTTTGCTTTGATTCTTGCGAAGAAGTGTTTTGACATTGACTCGCTTAACTCATATTCGTTCATTTTGGCTCTTATTTGAAGTCCCTTTAGTTCCCACCATCTCTACATAGTGAATTCTTCTCTTGCCTTTTCAAAAATGTCTCTGTAGAGTGTCGAAGAGGGGTTATCGATCAGATTTATCTTTGCGATCTTCAGGGCCATTTCCAATGCTTGCTTCCTCTGTTTCCTGTCGGCCGCTAATTTCCTTGAGATTTTAGCTACTGTCTGTGATAATGTGGAGTAGCTTTCCTGAAACCACTCCCACCGATCCCGTATGGGTAGGTAGGTGCCCTTTTTAACATACTGCTCGAAGCTGATTATTAGTTGGATGGGTTTGTGTTCCAGACCCGGGTAAGGTGTGAGAGCCAGGATCTCAGCGCTTTTGGCTGTCCCCATTAGTGTCCCTGAAATCAGGAAATAGTCGATGAAGGAGAAAGTGGTATGGTGGGCATGGTTCTTTTTAACCACTAGATTGTAGTCCATCATCAGCTTTTGGATGGGCACCGCCTCCTGTGTATGCTGACCAGCTGGAGACCTAGATATGCGATCCGTGGTGGGGTCTATAGTTGCGTTCCAATCACCGGCCAAAATACAAGGCGATAAAGGGGGGATCAGATGGCCGACGTTTGTTTCTATTATTACTATTATCATTATTGTTACAAGTGGACCCGCCGGGAAGGACAATGATGAAAACATTTTGTGAAAAACCCCAGGCATCAGTTGGACCCCATCTTTGCAATGTACCCGTACCGAACGCTGCCCAACTTTGCAAAATGCTCCGGCAGCTGCCAA